ACAACCATTCCTGCTTCAATCACAACCACAGCTGCTCCATCCACAACCACTGCTGGTCCAACCACAACCACAGCTGCTCCCACCACAGCCACAGCTGCTCCAACCACAACCACAGCTGCTGTCACAACAACCACAGCTGCTCCAAGCACAATCACAGCTGCTCCCACAACAACCACAGCTGCTCCAAGCACAACCACAGCTGTTCCCACAACCACAGCTGCTCCAACCACATCTACAGCTGCTGCCAAAACAACAAATATTGCTCCCACCACAACCACAGAATCTGTCACAACAACAACAGTGTATCAAACCACATCCACAGCTGCTCCAAGCACAACCACAGCTGCTCCAAGCACAACCACAGCTGTTCCCACAAATACCACTCCTGCTTCTATCACAACAACAGCTGCTCCAACCGCAACCACTGCTGCTCCAAACACAAACACAGCTGCTCCAACCACAACTACTGCTGTTCCAACCACAACTACAGCTGCTGCCACAACTACAACTGCAGTTCCAACAACAACCACTGCTGATCCATCCACAACCACAGCTGCTCCAACCACAACCACAGCTGCTCCAACCACAGCTACAGCTGCTGCCACAACTACAAATATTGCTCCCACCACAACAACATCTGCTCCAAGCACAACCACATCTGCTCCAACAACAACCACAGCTGCTCCAAGCACAACCACAGCTGTTCCCACAAACACAGCTGTTCCCACAACAACCACTCCTGCTCCAATCACAACCACAGCTGCTCCAACCAGAACTACAGCCACAACTACAACTGCAGTTACAACCACAACCACTGGAGCTCCAACTACAATCACAGCTGTTCCCCCAACCACTGCTGCTCCTACAACCACTACAGCTGCTCCAAGCACAACAACATCTGCTGCTACAACAACCACAGCTGCTTCAACCACATCTACAGCTGTTTCTGTAACAAAAACAGCTGCAGACACAACAACCACTGCTGCTTCAGTCACAACCACAGCTGCTCCAACCACAACTACAGCTGAACCCACAACAACCACAGCTGCTCCAAGCACAAACACAGCTGCTACAAGCACAACTACAGCTGCTGCCACAACCACAGCTGCAGTTCCAACCACAACCACTGCTGTTCCATCCACAACCACAACTGCTCCAATCACATTCACAGCTGCTGCAACAACTATAAGTAATGCTCCCACCACAAGCACAGCTGCTCAAACCACAACAACAGCAGCTGTCATAACAACCACAGCTGTTCCAAGCACAACAACATCTGCTGCCACAACAACCACTGCTTCTTTAACCACAAACAAATCTTCTCCATCCACAACCATAGCTGCTCCAAGTGCAACCACAGCTGTTCCAAGCACAACCACATCTGCTCCAACAACAACCACAGCTGTTCCCACAACCAGAGCTGCTCCCACAACAACCACAGCTGCTCCAACCACAACCACTGCTGCTGCAACCACATCTACAGCTGCTGCCATAACTACAACTGCAGTTCCAACCACAACCACTGCTGCTCCATCCACAACCACATCTGCTCCAACCACAACCACAGATGCTCCAAACACAACTACATCTGCTGCCAAAACTCCAAATATTGCTCCCACCACAACCACAGCTGCCCCTACCACCACTACAGCTGCTGTCACAACAACCACAGCTGCTCCAAGCACAACCACAGCTGTTCCCACAACCACAGCTGCTCCCACAACAACCACTCCTGCTCCAATCACAACCACAGCTACTCCAACCAGAACTACAGCTGCTGCCACAACTACATCTGCAGTTCCAACCACAACCACTGCAGCTCCAACCACAATCACATCTGCTTCAACCACAACCACTGTTGCTTCAACCACATCTACAGCTGCTGCCACAACTACAACTCTAGTTCCAACGACAACCACTGCTGTTCAATCCACAAATACAGCTGCTGCCACAACTACAAAAATTGCTCCAATCACAACCACAGCTGCTCTAACCACATCCACAGCTGCTCCCACAACAACCACAGCTGCTCCAATCACAACCACAGCTGCTCCAAGCACAACCACAGCTGCTCCCACAACAACCACAGCTGCTACAAGCACAACCACAGCTGCTACAAGCACAACAACAGCTGCTCCAAGCACAACCACTCCTGCTCCAATCACAACCGCAGCTGCTCTTAGCACAAGAACAGCTGCTCCAAGCACAACCACAGCTGCTCCAAACACAACAAAAGCTGCTCCCACAACAAGCACAACTGCTCCAACTACAACAACAGCTGTTCCCATAACCACTGCTGCTCCTACAACAACTAAAGCTGCTCCAAGCACAATACCATCTGCTGCTACAACAACAACTGTTGCTACAACCACATCTACAGCTGCTGCCACAACTACAACTTTAGTTCCAACCACAACCTCTGCTGTTCAATCCACAAATACAGCTGCTGCCACAACTACAAAAATTGCTCCAATCACAACCACAGCTGCTCCAACCACAACCACATCTGCTGTCACAATAACCACAGTGTATCAAACCACAACCACAGCTGCTCCAATCACAACCACAGCTGCTCCAAGCACAACCACAGCTGCTCCCACAACAACCACAGCTGCTCCAAGCACAACCATAGCTGCTCCAAGCACAACAACAGCTGCTCCAAGCACAACCACTCCTGCTCCAATCACAACCACAGCTGCTCTTAGCACAACAACAGCTGCTCCAACCACAACCACAGCTGCTCCGACTACAAACACAGCTGCTCCAAGCACAACCACAGCTGCTCCAACCACAACAAAAGCTGCTCCCACAACAAGCACAACTGCTCCAACTACAATGACAGCTGTTCCCACAACCACTGCTGCTCCTACAACAACTACAGCTGCTCCAGGCACAACAACATCTGCTGCTACAACAACCACAGCTACTTCAACCACATCCACAGCTGTTTATGTAACAACCACAGCTGCAGACACAACAACCACTGCTGATTCAGTCACAACCACAGCTGCTACAAGCACAACCACAGCTGCTCCAAGCACAACCACAGCTGCTGCCACAACTACAAATATTGCCCACACCACAACCACAGCTGCTCTAACCACAACTACAGCTGCTGCCACAACCACAGCTGCAGTTCCAACCACAACCACTGCTGTTCCATCCACAACCACAACTGATGCAACAACTACAACTAATTATCCCACCAAACCCACAGCTGCGCCAACAACTACTACAGCTGCTGTCACAACAACCACAGCTGTTCCAAGCACAACAACATCTGCTGCCACAACAACCACTGCTTCATTAACCACAAACAAAGCTTCTCCAACCACAACCATAGCTGCTCCAATTGCAAACACAGCTGTTCCAAGCACAACCACATCTGCTCCAACAACAACCACAGCTGTTCCCACAACCACAGCTGCTCCAACCACAACTACAGCTGCTGCCAAAACTACAAGTATTGCTCCAACCACAACCACAGCTGCTTTCACAACAACCACATTGTATCAAACCACATCCACAGCTGCTCCAAGCACAACCACAGCTGCTCCAAGCACAACCACAGCTGCTCCCACAACAACCACAGCTGCTCCAAGCACAACCACAGCTGTTCCCACAACCACAGCTGCTGCCACAACTACAACTGCAGTTCCAACAACAACTACTGCTTCTCCAATCAGAACCACAGCTGCTCCTAGCACAACAGCTTCTCCAACCACAACCACAGCTGCTCCGACTACAACCACAGCTCCTCCAAGCATAACCACAGCTGCTCCAACCACAACAAAAGCTGCTCCCACAACAAGCACAACTGCTCCAACTACAACCACAGCTGCTCCAGCCACAACCACAGCTGCTGCCACAACAACCACAGCTGCTCCAACCACAACCACATCTATTCAAACCACAAGCACAGCTGTTCTCACAACTACTACAGGAGCTCCATCCACAACCACAGCTGCTCCAACCACAACCACAGCTGATCCAACCACAACCACAGAAGCTCCAACCACAACCACTGCTCCTCCAACCAAAACCCCAGCATCTGGTACAACAGCCAAAGCTGCTCCAAGCACAACCACAGCTGTTCCTACTACAACCACAGCTGCTCCAACCAAAACCACTACTGCTCCAACAACAACTGCAGCTGCTGCCACAACAAGCACAGCTGCTCCAACCACAACAACAGCAGCTTTTCCAATAACAACCACAGCTGCTGCGACAACAACCACTGCTGCACAAACCACAACTACAGCTGCTCCAACCACAACCACCTCTGCTAACACAAAAAACACAGCTGCTCCAACCACAACCACAGCTGTTCAAACCACAAGCACAGCTGCTCCAACCAAAACCACTACTGCTCCACCAACAACCACAGGTGCTACAACCATAACCACAGCTGCTGCAACAACAACCACGGATGCTCCAGCAACAACCATTGCTGCTCCCACAACCACAGCTGTTCCATCTACAACAACATCTATTCCAACCATGACCACAGCTTATCCAATAACAACTACAGCTGCTCTCACAACAACCACAGCTGCTCCCACCACAACCACAGCTGCTCTAACCAAAACCACAACTGCTCCAACAACAACCACAGGTGCTACAACCACAACCACAGCTGCTGCAACAACAACCACGGATGCTCCAGCGACAACCATTGCTGCTCCGACAACCAGAGCTGTTCCATCTACAACAACATCTATTCTAACCACGACCATAGCTTCTCCAATAACAACTACAGCTGCTCCCACAACAAACGCAGCTGCTCTAACCACAAACACTCCTGCTCTCACAACAACCACAGCTGCAGCAACATCAAGCACTGCTGCTCCAACCACAACCACACCTGCTCCAACCACAAC